CTCTCATGTATTCTGGTTCAGAATGACCAGTGGATCCAATATCAGCTGTATCTCATACATGCGGGACTCTGATAGGAAAGCTTTACTCTGTGATGGATTTCAAAATGGGAGCTTTATAATGACATCCAACACCAAAAACCTCTTTCTGAAGATCAGAAGTGTGGATGTATCTGACTCTGGACTCTACTTCTGTGGATGTTACAAAGATGGACTCCCAACATTGGTCAGTCCAACATATTTAAAGGTTCAAGGTAAGACTGTTGTAAAGTGGTATATGTCTTTTTGATTGTGTGTCCCACACTGTGAGGGATTTTAGTATGGATCATTTGAAATCAGGTCGACAAATGCCGTCTTTCTTAAAATTTAAACAGAGGATTTATCTGAGTCTGGACTGTTTTATTGGGGATTTTACACAAATTCATGCTTAAAAGTCAGAGTAGTTCATTTATATGCTCCTGGAAACATTTACTGTAAATGATGTCTTTTTGGGGTTATTTTTTTAGTGATTGTCTCACAACAGAGAAATATTTTTATAATTTTATTGACAGTTGCACCTCTTGTTTTCTCAACTTCAGGCGACAGTGAATCTGACGATGACAGCGACTGCACATCTCAAAGTAAAGTTTCATTTACTTCCTCAAATGTCAGCGAGATCACAATCCACAGAAGAGAACATTTACTCTGATTGTTCATTTCTGTTGCAGAAAAGTCTGATGAAAACACAAACCTTATGGTTGTGATTCTGGGTGGTCTGACTGTTTTCTTTGTGATGGTCATCATTGGTCTGCTTGTAAAAATCAAGAAACTTCACAGAGGTACTGTTTAACATCTACTGTATCTGTTATATTTGTACATTTTTTTAACATGGTCGCACATTGTAACAAAGCACCTTTACTTGCTTTATTATATTTAAAAAGTAATCAATGAGGTGCCTGGATAGCTCAGCAGGTAGGGCAGGCGACCCATGTACAGGGGCTACAGTCCCCGAAGCAGCAGCTCGGGTTTGATTCCACCCAGTGGCTCATTTGAGGCATGTCATTCCCCGACTCTCCTCCCCACGTTTCTCTGTCTATCTTCACTGTCACTGTCAATAAAGGCGGAAAAGGCCAAAAACAAATATTAAAAAAAAAAAAAATAATGATAATTAATCAGTGGTCCACAGATAAGTCAATGATGACCTTAAGGTTTTTAATTTGATTGTAGAAAAAGTATAACTGGTCATTCAGTTCATCAGGAACAACCTAACAGATCTGTCTTTAGAACTCGCAGAGCAGCTGGAACAAAATTCATGAACATTTTAACATTTACACAAACAGAGTTGATGGATTTTCTGCAAAACCTCAAGTATTAATACCATTTTTAACTGCAGATGACTGACTGACCTATGACCCTTTATTCATATAAAGGATCTCTTTTGTGTGAAAAAATTGTTCCGATTCGACACTTTTGAATGTTTTCATTTTTGAAAGATAAAATTTGACACAAACGTACCAAACTGCAACACCAAAACCAAAGTTAATACCAAACCATGAGTGTAGAAGACCGTTACACACTGACTGACGATCGACCAGGCAGATATGGAAACTGGAAAATTGATGCCTGGTCATTAATGGAAACCTATAGACTCTTAACGGGCACTGAATTAGAACATTCTACCAAAAGACTTTCAGTTCTTGTCAATGCTCTGACCACATGTATTATCTCTTTCACAAAGCTGATGGAGACGAAGATCCTCAACCAAGAGAGGTGAATACAGTTTCACTACTAACTTCTGTAAACGTGATTCAGTATCATGTCAAACTGGACTTTTTT